TTGGAAAAAATATTAAAAAGCCTCCTAAGGATAGTCTACAACAGTCCATTCATGTTGAGAAAAACAAATCCGGTAATATTATTGCTCAATTCAAATCCTGACAAGTTTGGGTCATGTGAATCTATATCCACGTGGAGGTCGGAGACTTCGGACACGAGAAGATAGGATCATGAAGCTCTAAAATTCATTGCAGTATGGTGAGCTGCAAGATATTCATAAAAATATGTCATACTTCCATAACCGTATCTCTCTGCAGAGTATCGCAAACACGAGCCTCGTCAATGGTCTTACACAAGGCTGTAGTGCCATTGATCTACAAATACACTGTAGCATAGGAAAGTATAGAGATAGTTGGAGAAACTCCATAGACGAGTAGCATTAAAAGGAAGGCTTCGGCAGGAACTAGTACCCCACCATAGAGCCGTATGTGTAATTTACCCAATAATGTGACCAAACTGCATCATGATGGGGGCTTGGCACCTTCTGTTGGACCACGGCCGAGCTACAGAGGAGGTGAAAGAAGTAGGAAAGGGTAAGAGAAAGGATGGGGTCAAAAAAAATCTGCACTCTATTTCATGCTGCAAAACAGGATTCCTGGGCACTCTGAGCTCTTCAACAGGTGCAATACTGGGCCTATCACCAGGTCTGTTCTTCCACTATACATTACATATGCTTTTTTTTGTTTAATCTTTCAGCGAATGATGCTAGAAGAAGCAAAAAAAAATGAGGGAGGAGGTATTATTGAAGGAGTAGTGTGGAGGATTGTTTACGCAAGCAGGTGTAAACAACTCTCTATTATTTCTAAACCTGAACAACAGTAACCTTGGTGTTGAAAACCGGAATAAATAAATGCAGTAGATGAGGTAATCGAGACTGTACTTTATCATACCTGCTTATCGCAGATTTGTTTGGTTCCTGTTCATCTATCGTAATTATCTTCAAGTTTCTTAAATCCTTTAAATTTAATCATTTTACATTAAAAAATGCTCTCATTATTTTGCTACTTGAACGGTGTTATATTACTTGGGGGTAAAATAAGAGAGAAGTCTCTCAGCCCTTTAACGGTCTTGTGCGCTGAACTGAAATCCCACCACAAAGGAGGGTACGCAAACGTACTGTGTTACAACCGCGTGAGGGTAGGCAGGTTTAGGGATAGACAAAAACTTTGAGGCATACCTAGATTAATAATAGCTCTTGAGAGCCATCAGCAGCAGCAGCGTTCCCCATTACAAGAAGCATTGGGTCCTCCTAGATACACCAATTCACCCACCCCTTTATATCAGTACTCCCCCTTATCTCCTTCGGTGACTCAAAGTAGAAACAAAAAAAACCGGCCTAAAGCATGTTCAATGAACAATAATAATAATTAAAATACAATCTCAGAAATCAATCAAATAGATGACTCGAAAACTAAATGAAATTGTATAGATGATACAAGCACGAAAATATTAAAATGGTAATAATAATAGGAATAATAATAATAATAAACCTTTCAGTATATATGAAAAAAAAAAGCATTTCCTTCAGATAAAAAATCGAAGTGCACCCTTGAGATTTCTTTGCCCGAATATTTAACCTATTAGTACAGCCAGAGTACTAATAGGTCACTAGTACCTCTATATTATTGGAATATACAAAAAAAAATGAAAAATTATAAATATATATCAACTTCAATAAAAGTAATCACAGAAGTTATTGAAAATTCAAGCGTCCTTTCACGTATCTATTTACAAAGAACCCCAGTTGCGACACTGAAAAAACAACAAAATCAAACTAAAATTAAATAAAAATACTGAAGACGTTCTTAAATAAATAAAAAAACGGTCGCATAATAAGCCAAATAAATTACTTCATTTTTTAGCTACACGCGTCAATATTCAAATCAATATCAGAAATATATATCACACTTTATACTATCCAGCACTTAATATCCTCCTATCTTTGACACCGCGCAATTTGTAAGCAATCGATACCATACCTAGACTTGGTGGGGAAATCTGATTATTAGAATAATAAAAGTAGCCTTCGGGCGCAAATAAATGATGCAGGGAATGGAGGGATCTGAAAGTTGTCCGACACTTCTAATTTGCCCGTGTTTCCTGCGACAGTATCGCCACAGTGTAGAGGACTTCGAAGCTATTACGGTCGGCTGAATACCGCATAAGCCCACTTCAACCAGCGTGAGAAAAGATCGGATGAGCCTCGTCTACTGCTTTAGCTTCTGCAGAAATGTCGTTAGTAGTTCTTAAAGGGTTGATGATTCTCACTGACGACTGTTTTCTGAAAGCATCTTCTTCAAGCCGTCCAGAAGCTGGTGTATAAGGAACGGTGGGTTCATCAAAATCGCCGCCTGCCGCTGGAAGGTAAGCAAAGTTGGAGAAAGGTGTGGCAGGAAAATGTCCAGAATTAGAAACCTCAGTTGAAGATTCGTTGAAGGGGTAATCTAACGGGTTTAGTTCCTTTGTATGTAATGATCTGAAGCATGAACAAATGTAAAAAATTATCGGAATAATAATCGAAATACTGGCAAAGGCAATGGTGATGCAAGTCAGCGCCAAGTGATGCACTGTTGAACCATCTCCGAAGTCGGTGTCGAGCCCCACCACAATCAGCGGGATTGGGTAGGCCCCTTGGGAAAGTGCGCTAATGATATCCCGCGCGTCCCATGGGTGCTGTGATATTTTCGGCCTGCCCTGCGTTGCCCTACCGTAGGCCAAAAGGCCCTGGATTCGCCCGGCAACATCCTTAACAGGCTCAAAGCGGGTGAGTTTCACCTCAGTGAGGTACAAATTGCGGTATAGCGCCGCTTCCGCAGTGGCCTTAATGCTGAGATTGAATACTGCGAAATTGCTTCCCCGGACCCACATCCAGGAGCTCTCGTTACAGGAAAAGTGAATAATAAAACGTGCCGTTACATTGCTAACGATCGGGGATGACTTCGGAGGATTAAGGTTGGGGGGCAAATGACAACGAAAGATAACCGGAAGCCAAAGCTTGGCGCGTAATTCTGAAAACCTTGAGTTTCGCTTGATTAAACTCGCGAGCTCGGTCCCAAATATCGGAAGAGGGCTTCCCAGAAGCCGGTCATGCACCTGCTCGGGACTCAGCCTCAAGTTGTTGGGTATTTGGTTCAT